TCAGTTTTGCCATCTGTCAGATTTTAGGTTGTAAGACCTACTCAGTCTCTACAGCCTGAATAAATGTATTACTGGTATATTCAAAGTATAAACTGGTAGCCAACAGTGGCAGTCCATGCAGTTTGTCCATGCACCAGTATGTTGTAGTTATATTCTTTGCAGGTCTCCCAACGACATCCCAACCTATGCACCAAGCTCTCTATTCTGAATTTGACTGGAAAGGAACACAGTCTGCAACAACTCCAGGCACAGCCTAAGATCTGATGATCAATAATAGTAGGCTACGGGGTCTTAAAGTCCCATTACACCTGTAATCAGTCTGATGCAGTGCGTTAAGGCAGTCCATCCATTTGTACATAATGTAGTTTATTGCAGCTTATCAGTTCTTAGATGTGTGATCTGCATTAGTTTGCAGGCTTCTTTACTTTTATTTTTACCAGCCAGTAACACATTTTTCGTCCTAGGTGACAATGCTCACTCACTGTACTGTATCTTAATAGGAGGTACATTGTCATCCTTGGACAAGTGTGTTAGGACTTCAGAACATCTCCTCGTCTATATAACATAGAGGAGATGTGAAATTAGCAATTTCTGGCTTTTAGATTGGTGACCACTGACCCCAATGATCTTTTCAGCATTATGTAAGGGGGGTATTCTTTTTGCTGACCACCAATATAAGGGACATTAAAAAAACTAATTGTAGATTTCCACTGCACCACAAAGGGAACAGCGGGACATGTGGATTTAAGTGCCAAGGTAATGCCAGAAGAAAAAAAATGAATAAAAATACAATTTATTATTACATTAAAAATCAGCACATTATGAAAACCATATATTATCAGCTACCATCCAATAAAAGGGGTACTTAATTTGTGGAAGAAAGCAGATGGATCAACACATTTTGCTTGAAAAAATGAAAAAAGCGCTTTCAGGATAAATTTTCTTGTCTTCAATATAGCATTTAGTAGCGGACTAACAAGAAAAGGGAAAAGAGAAAAAGGCACATGTGAAGGGAAAATACTGCCCCCAAACGGCACTGCACTGATCACAAGAAGGAACAGGAATCAAACACTAATGGGGGACTAAAGGCAGGAAAGAAAAAGGCAGAACACACTGATCTTAACCAAAAACTAGAAAGATCTAGAAACAGCAAATGATAATCTACATATACTGGTGTATACAGGATATACTGTAGAAGGCCACTGTATCTCAAATGTAATCCTCCAACAAGTCCTTATATTTAACACCTACAATTTTAAAAAATTATAAAGCAACAACAATATATATCATATTAATAAAAGTAAAAGGGATGCCAATGAGCATTATATGACTATTAAACCTACCTACAAGGAAAAGGCTCACCCAGAAACCATCCCAGCATCAAGTGCAAGGTAAACATATAGTAAAACCAAATGGAAGAGCATGCTGGACAGAGGTAGTCCCCACAAATAAATGCAAAAAAGAACCACAGCGCCCAGGACCACCTTCCTACCAAACTCTTTAAGTGAAATGCCGCTGTGCACAGGTATAGAGACCACAAAATTATCAACTTAAAAAACAGCACAAAACACAAACTACCTCACACCAATCAATATATGTGAACAATGATAAATAACTTATTCATTAAATAATATTAATAAAGAATATTGCAATTTAAGTGTCATAAAAAAAAATATATATATTAAAACAAAAAGTCCAGTGACACATACAAAAACAAAAAGTCCAGTGACATATACAAAAAGAAGTCCAGTGCCCCACACAAACGCCCTGTGGGTGGGGCGAAACGCGTTGACGTACTTCCGGCTGGCCATCCCAACGTCCTGCGTCATTTCCGGTGAGTGGAACGCACGCCGAGTGGAGCGTTCCAAGTGGCCATTTTGCTCAGTGGAGGAGGTTTTCTTTGAGGTCTGTCATCCTGCTGTGTACAAGGCTGTGAGGTCTTTCTACAGGAATTGTGGAATTCGTTTTTTTTCTTCAATAAATGCTGGTTATTACCTTTTAAAATGTGAGTGGTCTGGCTTAAAGTTGATTATAATTGAGAGTCATAACAGTATCACACTATTCGTTTTTTTTTCTTCCTGGAATCCGGTGGAGTTGGCGAGGGGAGTAATTGGAGGAATATCCATATCTTTGAGGTGGCAATAGTTGGAGGTTACAAAGGGGGTCCAGGAGCCCTAATTAATCCTGAAAGGCGTTATACTCACCAAATATCTGGTGAGTGCGGTTTATGTTGGTTTTACACTGGTGGATGGTGGAAGGATCACTATTGGCACTGAAGATTTTTAATGAAAATAAGTTTTTTGTGTGGGGCACTGGACTTCTTTTTGTATATGTCACTGGACTTTTTGTTTTTGTATGTGTCACTGGACTTTTGTTTTTATATATTTTTTTTTTTTGTGACACTTAAATTGCAATATTCTTTATTAATATTATTTAATGAATAAGTTATTTATCATTGTTCACATATATTGATTGGTGTGAGGTAGTTTGTGTTTTGCGCTGTTTTTTAAGTTGATAATTTTGTAGTCCCCACAAATACACCCACCCAAATGGGTATGGTGATTAGACAAATAGGAATAACATGTAATCACAGGATACCGCTCAGAACTATTGAAACAAAAAAGGGAAGAGAGAAAAAAAAATTAATAGACAGCACACCATTAACCACAAGATAAAAAGTATATACAGGGTTGGACAAAATTATGGAAACACCAGGTTAAAAAACAAAATCGTTACCTAATATGGTGTTGGATCACTTTTTGTCATCCAAGATGGCCTGAATTCTCCTGGGAATTGACAAATATAAGTCTTGGATGGTAATAATGGAATCTGACACCACTCTTCAGAGATGCCAGGGGTGGAAAATGAGCCCGAACCTTTCTTCAAATATTTCAGTAGTGGCTCTATGATATTGAGGTCCGTCAACTACAGCGCCCAGGGAAGGTGGCATGCTTGTCAAACCAGGATTTGACAACACCAGCTGTGTGAATCTGAGCATTGTAGTCTCGGGGAACAATGTTTGCACCATGGTATGCACATTGTCAGGCCAAATTTGTATACAGTCGCTGGCAATGACTCTCTCTTTAAGATGATGATGGGGCTGCAGAATACCAAGAAATGGCTGCCCAAACCATGATTGCACCGCCACCATGCTTTACCATTCGCACAAGACAGTCCTTGTCGTAATACCCCTGTTTTTAACGCATACTGTTAGACAGGTTAATTCGGTTGTTGGCAAGCTGGCTGGCAAGTTGATTTTGAACCTTCTTTTTTCTTTTTTTTTTTATTGACAGTCCTTGTCGTAAGCTTGGAATGGTGTTTGCCACATGTAAAAACATCCAGTGCTTGGGAACAGTGTGAAGTTCGATTCCATCAGACCATATTACGGTCTTCCATTGATCAATAGTTAACAATTTATGTGTGTTGCAACACTCTCTCCTCTTCTGAGCATTAATATTGGTCACTAGTGTTTTGGCAATTGCCCATGAATGTTTTGCTTATGGTGTTCCATTCGCGCAGTTTTTCTGGACACGGACTTTGGAAGACTGAGATTGAGCTCTGCAGTCACTTTTGCAGCAGTTGTTTTCTTATTCCAGTTCACAGTCCTGTGCAATGTCCTTTTGTCTATTTCAGTCAGTTAACCATGTCAACCACGCCTATGCTTATCAGACTACCTTTTCCTGGAAACTGTATACGCCGCTATAACCTTTGATACTGTACCTTGCGACACGGCAAATAAATTGACAACTTCAGTCACAGAGGCACCAGCTCAGCGGCACCCAACAATTTGCCTTCCTTGAAGCTCAGTAAGCTCTAACATGACTCCGTATTACTAGTAGCGCATGCAATTAATAACGAAAGTGAGGCTTCCCACCTTTTAGCTAGGTGTTTCATCACACAGAGGAAGAAAAAGAATGTTGCATCACATTCTCTTTCATGGCCTCATTTTCACACCTGCAAATAATGTAGTGTTTCCATATTTTTGTCCAACCCCTGTATATCCGTGGCAAGTAATCACAAAGGGTCCTGTAACAATATATATAAGGAGCATTCTTCTCACTGACCACCAATTTAAGGAGGACCTTCTTCCCATTGGTGGACATTCTTCTGAACTGACCACCAACATAATAAGCATTCTTCCCACTGACCACCAATGTAAGGAAGTCATTTTCCCCACTCACCACCAATATAAGGGACATTCTTTCTACTGAACACCAATGTAGGGAGGACATTATTCCCACTGATCACCAATGTAAAAAGCATTCTTTCCACTGACCACCAATGTAAGGGACATTCTTACAAATGATCACCTGTATAATGAGTATTTTTCCCTTTGACTACAAATGTAAGAAGCATTCTTCCCACTGACCACCAATGTAAGATGCATTCTTTCTACTGACCCCCCCCCCCCCCCCAACATAATGGGGCCCCTGTCCCAATGATCGCCAATTTAAAGTGGTCCTTCAACCACTGACCATCAATCTGAGGGGCCACTTTTCCACAGACAACCAATGTGAGGGAATACTATAATTCCACTGTCTGCATTTCTTTTTTGATAATTATTATCTGTTTCCATTGAGTATTATTACTGAAAATAATTTTGTTATATAGGGCAGCTCTGGGTGTTAAATAGTTTAAGTATATCATGCAATGTTCAATGAGCTTTAGATATAGTAAGCAGGGGTTTCCTGATTTCCGATAGTTATTTTAAGGGTTCCCTGCGGTTGAAAAAGGCTGCTCCAAGCATACACACAATGAGGAATTGGTCAGGGGCTGATTTTTTCTGTGCTACTTTAGAGCAGTAAAAGGAAGAATTTATGAATAAAGTTCCCTAATTACAATAAATCTTTCCAATAATCTGTCTTATGTCTTCTTTTAAGCATTGCCTTTGTGTGCCACAGAGTTGATGAATGTCTCCCTGTGTATTGGGAAATCATTTTAAAATTCCGGCATTTATTTGTTCTTTCTTCTTAATGATGATTCATCTTCATCTTTTTTTCATAGCTATGTCTGCATCGCCATGGAAGCCTTGGATCAGCTCCTGATGGCGTGTCATTGTCAGAGCATCAACCTGTTCGTGGAGAGTTTTCTCAAGATGGTGGCCAAACTCTTAGAATCGGAAAAGCCAAACCTCCAGATTCTAGGAACAAACTCAGTAAGCAGCCCATTATGAAACAATTTTTCCATCTTTTGGAGTTTGCTGGCCTTAGATGTAGTCAAGAGGTGGAGGCAATCTAGTGTCACTGATGTTATGTGCACGACACATTTCTCTAATCAGATGTTCAAATTATTTGTACAAGTATGTTAGCATTAATCTTTGGGTTGGTTTTGCCTCTGAAGCTACAGCTTTGCCAAATAGCAAATGTTCATCTTTTTTTTATGTTGAGCCATAACCGAGAGCACTTATGAAATTCACCTCAGAAGTATTACCGAGCTTAGAAGTGCTAAGGTGCACTTTTGAATCACTTGCAGATACAGTATGCTTGACAGTGTAGCTGATTTAGTACACAAAATGTGTTTAAAACATAAATTTGTGAGTTATCTCCATCACACACCCAGCTGGTACTGGACCTTGGGTGTAGGGTGATGTAGCAACCAATGGACGGCACCATGTACAATAGATGTAACATGTTGTCAGCATGCCTTTTCTCTCATAATTTCATATCCTTTGTTCATACACATATGTTTCAGAAAAAAGGGGTTTCTTCTTTTGTGGCATTGGCGCAGTAAAAGCCTGTTTCTGGCAACTTGACCATGCAGCTAATTTTTGTTCAGGTATCGTTGTATTGTGCTCCTTGAAACCCCAATCCCACTGTCTTTTTTCAGAACAGCCTGTATTTCTCCTAAGGTTACCTGTAGGTTTTTCTTTGTATCCGAACAATTCTTCTGGCAGTTGTGGCTGAAATTCTTCTTGGTCTACCTAGCCTTGGCTTGGTATCAAGAGATCCCCGAATTTTCCACTTCTTATTAAGTGATTGAACAGTACTGACATATTCAAGTCCTTGAATATCTCTTTATTTATTTTCCATATTTATAAAGTTCCATTATTTTGTTACGCAGGTCTTGCCAGTTCTTTTCTGCCCCCCATGGCTCAGCATCTGGCCATCCATGTGAGAGCTAACAAACTCATTGACTATTTATACACAGACACTATTTGCAATTTAAAAAGCCACAGATGTGAGAAATGACCCTTTAATTGCCATTTTTACCTGTGTGTGTATGTCACCTTGTGTGTCTGTACCAAGGCCAAACATTTCAGGGGATGGAAAGATTTGATCGGGTATTTGGGTGATTTCTGTTATCATTATGATTTATAAAGGAGCCAAACAATGATGTGATAATAAATGGCTTCATATGATCACTAAATAAAAGAAAATTTTTTGGCATGATCAGTCATATTTTCAATATCAATGCCAAAATTACACAATTTCTGCCAGGGTGTGCAAACATTTGAGCACAACTGTATGGTTTTTGTTTTGTTTTTTTTTAAATTTTTGGCCTTTTTTGTCTATATAATAGAAAGTATAAAACCCAGTGGTGATCAAATACTACCAAAATAAAGCTTTATTTGTGTGAAAAAATGTAAAACATTTCATTTGTGTACAGTATTGCATGACTGAGCATTTGACGGTTAAAATAGCACAGTGCTGAATAGCAAAAAAATGTTCTGGTCATGAAGGGGTAAAACCTTCCAGAGGCTGAGTGGTTATGGTGGAACTTTCCCCATAACAACTTGATAAAAATTAATTTTCTTTAGCAAGGAACATATATTCCACATTACTAATCATTTTCCCAAAATCAGTGCATGCTGTAAATTGCCTTCAGCATTGCACCTGTTTCTTCTTGCTGGAGGCGGCCATTTTGCTGAAGCCCAGTTTTATTATTCCCACTGACATTAATGATGGGGCACTATACCTCCAACTGACACCAATGACGGGGGCACTATTCCTCCCACTGATACCAATGATGGGGCACTAATCCTCCCACTGATACCAATGATGGGACACTATTCCTCCCACTGATACCAATGATGGGGCACTATTCCCTCCACTGATACCAATGATGGGGGCACTATGCCTCCAACTGACACCAATGACGGGGCACTATTCCTCCCACTGATACCAATGATGGGGCACTAATCCTCCCACTGATACCAATGATGAGGCACTATTCCTCCCACTGATACCAATGATGAGGCACTATTCCTCCCACTAATACCAATGATGGGGCACTATTCCTCCCACTGATACCAATGATGGGCACTATTCCTCCCACTGATACCAATGATGGGGCACTATTCCTCCCACTGATACCAATGATGGGGCACTATTCCTCCCACTGACGCCAAAGATGGGGCACTACTCTGTTTTAAAGGAAATATTGCATTATCTGTTGAAACGCCCACCACCAGCAGCCTTAGTCCTCATGCACACTTGATGTTTTTACAATTGCTCTTTGGCTTTTCATGTTTTTGCTTGGGGTAATATTTTGTACCTCCAATGCCCCTGCAGGACTTGAGTTATAAGCCTAGTACACACAATCAGAAAATCAGATGAAAAATACCACTTTCGGAGTGATCGTCAGTACACAGCTTTCTTGTTCAAACATTTTATTGTGTTTTCAAGTCAACAGCAAACATAGAACATACAGAATGCATACAGGAATGGGAGAACCAATATGACAGAAGGTTTCATCATAGTTTAAACATTGTGGAACCACAATTAAATGAAGAAAGATGTTGCGTTGTAAAAAGCAGTGAATCATCGTTATGATCGGTCACAAGAGCGTAGCTCCCTTGAACAAATTGGGGCACCAGGAAAGAAGAGACGGCAGCTAGCGGAAATGCGAGAATAGGGATGAAGGAGAGGAAAGGAACGGGGGAGAAGACTGGAAGGAAGCAGAGCAGGGAGGAGAAGTGGTAGGGCAGGGGGCCCGGAGGAAGGCATGGGGAGGGGGGTGTGACTACCAAATAGGAGGGGGGGGGAGGATCACGGGACCAAACCAGGCTTTCTGGGATCTGGGCAGAAGGTCGTCAGGGAAGGAGCAATGATTCGTCAAAATTAGGAGGAAGATATCCTTCCAACCAGGGAGCCCATATAGACGTGAATTTAGAGACTGTAATGATCGCTTCCACTTTAGCATGGATCATTGCTTGTGTCACCTTGTTTGTAGCTGCTAGGACGCAAAGGGAAGGAGACTTCCAAGATTTCACAAAAATTTGTTAGACCAGGTAGAGTCATCTGTGTTTGGTTTCGGGATCATGGTTATTGTGGCTGTCAAGGTTTCAGCTTTAAAAGGACCAGCCGGCTAGGATAGCAGTAAAGGCGTTTGCTAGCATTGGGGAACGTAGGTGGGCAAATTTCTTATAGTAGGCGGCGTAGAATTCATCTGGACCCTGACACTTGCGTGACTTCAGGGCTTTAATAGCATTTAATGTTTCCATTTGTAAAATTGGTTTCTTAAAGAGTTTCCTGGTGAGAGAAGTCCTTCTGCTCGTGACTGATCAAAGGGTTCTGTTTCGGAGTACAACTGGGCTAGGTGTTTTTGGACAATTTGTAGTACCCGAACAGGGTTGCTGGTATAACTACCTTGAGTTGTCTTTAAACAGATTGGCTTGGGGACACGGTCTAGTCTGCGAAGTAAGTGGGCCAGGAAAGTATCAGGCTTGTTCGCTTTAGTATAGTATTTATGTCGAGATCTGCGGAGAGACAGTTCTGCTTGGTCTGTTAAGAAGAGGTCGAGCTCCAATCTTGCCTGTTCTAAGGTTTTTTGGTTGCCAGAAGATGGACAGGACTGGAATGCCAGATGGGAGTGGTTATAGGCTGCCTCAAGGCATTGGCGCAGCTGACGCAAACCCCTCTAAGGACTGGTTTATGTGCCTCCCATAAGAGTAGAGGAGAGACCTCAGGGGAGGAGTTTATGGACAGATATTCTTTGAGTGCAATCTCTAAGTCTAAGCAATGAGATGGGTGGGATAGTAAGTTGTCGTTGAGAATCCAAGATGCATCAGTGGTAGAAGGGGCCAAGGACAAAATTGATGTGATAACCACGCTATGGTCGGACCATGGTATAGGGAGAATTTTAGAAGCAAGGAGTCGAGAGGAGGAGCCGATGGTGGTCAGGATATGATCGATACGAGAGAATGTTTTGTGTGGGTGAGAGTAATAAGTATATTGTGCCTAACCGGGTTAAGTTCTCTCCAGGAGTCTACCAAGGAGTGGCAATGCAGGAGTTGCTGAACAGAGTGTTTCGAAGCAGGCGGAAGGGATGGTTGAGGGGATTTGTCTAGGAAGGGATAAAGGGTGTGGTTGGAGTCTCCGCATATAAACGGTACCGCGCTTATGTGAATCTGTAAGAATCAATAAGTGTGAGAGGAACGGGAGAGTGCCCTGATTGAAGGCATAATAAGCAACATTAGTGACTCAGAGTCAAGGAGATGTCCCGACAAGATGATGTACCGACCCTCTGGGTCCTTGGTCTCAGCATGGAGGGTAAAGGGGACTGTGCGATGGAAAGCGATAAGAACGCCCCTGCATTTGGTATTGGCAGAGGCTGTGTAGACTTGAGGGTGATGTGGGTCAAAGAATTTGGAAGTGGAGGCAGGAGTAAAGTGCATTTCCTGTAAACAGATGATGTGTGCTTTTTTTAGAGGGAAAAGATCGAAAAGGCCTTAGTACGTTTTTGGGGGACATTAAGACCCTGCACATTCAGGGTAAGGATGTTTAAGGGTCCCATGGTGGGATGTCGTAATCAGCGAAAAAAAGATAGTTCCTGGACATGGCGTGCCTGGTGTGATCTCTTGGAGGGATAAGGAAATAAAGAGATGAGGAAAGAAAAGGGTAGTCACACGAAGAAGCGGAAAGAGTACAGGGAGCAGGGAACAGTGACTGGTAGGAAAGAGAAAGGACAACGAAGGCTTGTAGTCTGATCTCCAAGATTAATGCATAGTAATATGTCTGGGGGACCAGAAATAGCCCGAACAGTACAACTGTCTGGTACTGAATGGGCTAGTGGTAGGAGCTCAGTGACAGACATTGGGGAGAAGACAGCCAAAACATTAAAACAAGTTGTCGTGTATATGTTAAGAGGACAAGTACCGTAAGCTCCCAGTATGCCTAAGAAGTCTGAGGCTCCGATATCATAACTGGATAAAGT